TTGGCAATAGCTATTGGTTTCGACGGCGTGTGCGTAGCCACATATTGGTAACCTTATTACCTTTTAATATGGTTCATAGAATACGTGTGTCTCCATGATGTCTGTCGTGTTTGTACCGTTCGTAGTTTGTTGTATGCATTAATATCATGTGGTTTGTATCATTTCATAAAATACTACTCCATTTGTTGTGTGTATCAGTTACATATTTGGTTGGTTGTTGTCCTTTATTTATTATGTTATTGTGCTGTGAACATGTTTGCATGCTTCTACGTATACTATGACAATTTGGTTTTGTGCATTATACATTATGGTTTTTTTTCCATATGAAATGGTTGTGCATCATGTTGCATTTTTCTTTTCATAAAAACCACATAATCACCCTTATTTTCTAATATTCAAACACACATACCTATACCTCATAAACTCACCTCTTTCCCTCAACATTCACGTTATAACTTGAAACAAAAGAGAACAAAAAAAACCACAACAATACCACCATGCTATAACATCATCATTATCTTCAAAATTTTCGACTCACACTCACATAAAACCTCGTCCACTCACTTACAACACTACATCCACCATTGGAAGTTATCTTTTAATTTGTCTGAAGGAATTTTTGGTCATTTTTTACACTGAACATCCATCAGTGGAAGTTACCGTTTAATCTGTAAGAAGGAACTTTTGGTCATTTTTTGCACAGAACATCCACCATTGAAAGTTACCTTTTAATATGCCTGAAGGAACTTTTGATCATCTTTTGCTCTCCTTTGCCTTACCCCTTTTTTTTTGGTTCAAAATGATTTGTATGAGTATGGTGTATCATGTTAGGACTTTTTTGAGTATTGATAATGTGCTCTTCTTGTTTGCCTAAGTGTGAGATGTCTAAATGTATGGTTTTCTCATGTATGAGTAACTTGTTCTCCCATGATTGCTTTATGAACCTTGTTCCTTACCTTAGCACGTTATTGTCGTACCTCGAAAAATACGATCCTCGCGATGGCCGCGGAAAATACTGTTCGAAACAGAGTCGCCACCGAACTTTATTCATTCCAAGGATGGAATAGGAAAATATCGATAAAACCTTTAAGGGGATAAGAACATGGTCATCGCAGCCAATATTCTAGGTTCGGGAGTCGATTACATGAGGGGAAGGTATTAGCACCCCTCATGTCCGTTGTACTCAACGGGAACCTCTTGATCGATTCGAGAGTAAAGTTAGCTATGCGTGTTTGTTTTCTTCTAAGGTTTCTCCTATGGGGGGAATGGTGGTTATAGGATAGGGTGCTCGCCAAGGATTGGGGCCCTTGTGCCTACGTATCTTCACTTGTAAGAAGTGGAAAATCAGAGCATTCGTAGTTCGTGGGACTACGGGAAAAAAGAGGGGATTGTGCTCGCCAAGATCATCGCAATCTTGTGCCTACGTATCTTACATTCAGAAGTGAATGAAGAATCAGAGCAGCCGTAGTTCGGCTAACTACGGTAAAGGGTTTGAAAATGAACGAGTGTTTAGGTCGCATTCTAACTGCTAAACGTTGGCTTGTCTGCTCGCTAGGGGAGGTTGAAGCACTAGTTTGTTATGCGCGGAAGAAGGGAATAAACAATGTTCTTAGCAAAAGGTGTTTTGGTTGGAAATCACACGAGGGCGAGGAATTTTTGTTTATCGCATTGGATGTTTTGGTTTGGGAAAGAGAATGGATTTGAATAGGTTTAAGGTTTCGATCGCACGGGGGCGAGAAAGAGGAGTTTGGTTAGGTAATTTGATAGAGAATGACGACTATTTGATTAACGAGGCGTTGGCCTTGCAATCAATTAATCGGGATATTATTGGAATGCTAGAGCCCAATAACACGTTTTTATTCGAATAATTACGAAGTATGTTTGAGAAAGTTTCAATCGCGCGGGGCGAGAGAAGAGAGTTGGAGTGGATATTTTAAGGGAAAATGACGACTACTCGATGAACGAGACGTCGGCCTCGCAATCAATTAATCGGGATATCATTGGAATGCTAGATCCCAATGATACCTTTTTCACTCAATTAATTGTGAAATTGTATTTGAATGGACAATAACGATATTGGTCCAAATAGTTAGGGCATGTATCTTATATACGAAAGGTCGAGTAATCCACAACCTAAAGCGTACGCCCCAAGAGTGGTTACTCAAGAATTCAAGGAATGCGAGACTCCAAGAACTCAATTCTTTCGCAGTTTAGTTAAGAAAATAATTTTGGATTTGACGTACAGTTTAGAGTCGTACTAGGGTTTAGACTCGATCGTATGAAGGTGAGGAACGAGATTAGATGGTTTGAAAAAAAATTTAGGAGGAATGACGACTACTCGATAAACGAGACGTCAGCCTCGTAATCAAATCAATCGGGACACCATTGGAATGCTCGATCCCAACGTTACCTTTTTCATTCGAAATATGTTTGATGGATGGTTTAGACGCGGAAGAGTTTGAATTGAAAGAGATTTTGATTCAATCACGCGAGGGTGAGAAACGAGGTTAGACGAGTTGGAAATTAGGAGGAATGACGATTATTCGATAAACGAGACGTCGGCCTCGTAACCACTTAGTCGGGATATCGTTGGAATGCTAGATCCTAACGACATCTTTTTCATTCCATTAATCATGAAATATATTTGTTGGATAGTGAATATTTATCCAAATAATTAGATAAGGTATTTTAGGAACGAAAGTTTGAATGACGCACTATACAAGGCGTACGCCCCAATAGTAATCATTCTCAAATTCGAGGAATGCGCGACTCCCAAGAACTTGATTCTTTCGTGATTTGATTTAGAAAATGATTTGAATTATTAGTGAAGGTAGATTAAACTAGGGTAGGCATATCGTTCGAATTAAGGTTCGCCTACTTTGAAAGATTTAGACAAAATTAAGTATTTTTATGGATGAAAGACGAAACGACCGCAACTCAACGCGTGCACCTCGAGAGCGGTCGCTTAAGGACCCAAAGAATGCTAGACTCCAAGGATCCACCACTTTCATTGATTAATTAAGAAAGTAATAGTTGTTTATATTAAGAAATTAATTATTCTCAAAATTTAATAACAATATTAATTAGGTGTTACAAATTAAATTAAGAAACTAGCCTTACAAATGTTCATTCTAAATAAATAAGATAAATAAATGAATGACAATGAATTTATTAATTATTGGACCAGTTACTTAAATAAAATCATGTTCCTTCCAATATTAATTAATTTATTAGTCTCTAACCTAATTGTAATGTAATTAAACTAAATAAATTATTAAAAAAAACCTTGCATTCAGTTTATTCAAAATCCTGAATGATTTCTTTTATGCAGAAGCCATAATAGACGGCCCACACGCATGCCGTTTAATCAAATCCATCATATCTTCCCCTCCCTCCGTGTTCTCTCCTCTAAATCCCCTTCTCTTTCCAACTCTTTTAATTTACTCTCTCCTGAACCCTCTACTTTTTACTCTCAAATTCACAAGAATCCATCAATAACCTAAGAAAATCTCTCCAAATCGTCTCTCATAACACGCTCATAGATCACAAATACCCAAATCCTAGAACGAAAATACAACTTCACTATGATGAAAGTTCGATTCAACCCAGTATTCATAGAGAAGATGAAAACGTGTTCAGAAAATAGAGAAAGTACCTGATCTGAGCAAAGTCCGACGATGACTTCTCCGACGATGTTCGACTGAGTTTTTTGTAAGCACCTCCTTTATCTTCTATTTCACTTCCCCTTTTGATTTGATTCTTTTTCTGCTCAGTATTATATCTATGTCTTGATGAGAGGGCGTGAGAGCATGGCTGAGCTCACCTCGCTCAGAGTTCTGATGTGAGCTCTGAGGAGGTTTGAATGATGAGCTTTTAGGAGTGGTTAGAGATTGATTTTGGATGAGTTTTCTTAGGGTTTTTTCGTATTCTCTGCTGCCGCCTTTCTAGGGTTTTTCTTCTCAAAAAATTCCCCCTTCACTAATCATTAGGTCCCCTTTTTATAGGAGGATTCAAAATGTTCTCATACGTGTGAGTTTTGGAGAAATTTTGAGGAATATTCCTCCAAGTGTGTGAGGTTGTGAGCTACAGACCTGCAATGCCGTTAGGGATGTTTTTGCGCAAGGATTTTGTGGGGGGACCAAGGTGATAGTGACCTTTAATTTGTCTATTGTGTGAAAGAAAATATCTATTGTTACCTGAATTTTTACCACATGTAAAAGATGTTATTTTACTGCCTCACTGTGAATTTTGTAAACTTTTATTGCTATTGGTAATCAATATTTCTGACTTATTTTTCTGGCTATTTTCGTTGAAAATAATGCAGGGTATACCATCTATGAATCATGGTGATAACTTAAAATTTCTGCGAATTTATCCATAGGCTGTAACAAAGTCATGCTGCCAGTTTTCCCGGATTGACGAAAGTAACCATCAACAAGGGTAAATGCTTTTTCTTATAACCTTCTCTTTGGTGATAGATTTTTACATTGTGAACACTGCTAATTTCTCTGGGTTTTGCACCAATTTTCATGTACATTCTTCAACTTGGTATGACTGAACTGAGTCTGTGCAACGCGCTAGCAGGATTGGGCACCATGTTTGGCTTTAGTGTGCTGAGTTAATCCTGTTTCAGAGTTGAATGTTTTGTTGCAGCTACTGCAAGAGAGATGTCATCCGGACTTGGGAGATTTGGCATCAGTGTTTGGAATCTTTCCAGCTTTCTTAGGGTGAGGGGTTGTTGTATGCCCAGCTTTCTTGCCATCAGTCTTCTCTGGAGTGGCATTTTTAGATTTCTTGGAAGGAACTGGGGTTTTGGATGCAGATTCATTGGCCCTCTTTTTCTCCTGGTCCACCTTCTTCACAGGGGTCTCTTCATCATCATCTTCATCAGAGCTATCATCAAGGTCATCATCAGATTCATCCTCAAAATCATCATCTTTTCCTCCTTTGGATCAACAACCTTTACTTGTTTTGCAGATGTACCACTCTTAGCAGGTTGATCAACCTTGGCAGGTACACCAGGCAGTAGCTTTCTTAGCTTCAGAAACTTTCAAGTCATCAGCCTTCTTGATGGTATCATAAACAACCATGAAGACCTCAGCACACACAACACATTTTTGTTCTTGATTGGAAGGTACCGTCATCAAATGGCGTACATACTCTGTCATAGCTTCCCAGGGTGATTCAATGTGATTTTTATTCTCAGGTACTTGGTCACATGAGTTAACAGTTTCCAGCATATGATCAGTAAGTGAACAGTTACTGCTTTGGGCCGAGTTAACTTGAAAATTCCCCTCACAATGTTGGTCATTGTTATTGTTATCATTTTCCTTGAACAAATCTAAAATATCAGCTCTTGAGACTGTTGTGCGGTGAACAGAAACTATTATACCAGGAAAACCTTTTTCCCGGCGAGAAATAATTTCACCCTCTGTTCCAAACGAGGATTTCAGTTTCTTGGCTTTGTCACTAAAGGAAGACCCACTAGCATCAGGTTTACGCTTGCCACTTCTCAAATCATCAGCTTCTCCAACACCCTTAGTTGGTAAGCTTGGTGAAATTGAAAGTTCTCCTGATGAGATCAAAGCAAACAAATGAAAAGTGTCCCCGTATTGAAGATTTTCAGCAAGATCAGTCCCCATTACGTTGAGGTCTTTGTCCCTTTCCTTCAGCCACGCAGAAAATTTAACAGCTTTCTTTCCAGTTTCAAAAGGAAATGATGACTGGGAAACACTGTGCAAAAACCGATGTGATAGTTCAAATCGACTGTTGTTTCCTCCAACCATTATTTTTTTCTCTCTAAGATAGTTAAAAGCAGCAAGTAGATCATGCTCTGAATAACGCCGAAGAATGTCTGCTAATAAATTTGGTGCCAGTGGACTGGTAGCGGTGCTTAAAAAAACAAGCTTAAATAGCTCCACGACATTTGAAACAGCCAATGACTCATATACTTGTCCATAAACACTGGGTCTGTTGTTTAGAAACTTGGAAATTTTCATATCAAGACATGATCTTTGGGAAGAAAATGTTTGGGGTTTCCCGTGATGGCTCTGAATAATCTCACTATGAACAGCTGATGTAGTTTTTTTTTTATTTTCTTGAGATTCATATCTATTGCAATTTTCATATTGCAATTGAACATTTTGTGAGGAGGCGTCCAACTTGGCCATCATCTTGCAGCGAAGAATCTCCTCAAGGGCTGTCTTAATACTTTTGTTCTCGAAGTCGTCCCAGGCTTCTCCATTTAGACTACCCTTTTGAATTTCAACATCTGGACTAAAGCTATTGTGAACACCTTTACTAGACTAGGATTGCACAAACAGTCTGCAATCATTTGTATTTGATGACAAGTTTTGAGCCTTCTCCAGGTGTTTTGCATAGCGTTCACTGAGCATGCTACAGAGCCTATTCACAGCTTTCCTAAGTCTTAAGTTACCATTCAGAATAGCCATTCTTCTCCTACAAGCATGTGGAGGGGCCGGAAGATCAGTAAGTGAGGTCCAATCTATGCGATGATAATTCGCACCAAGAACAACATGGTGTCTAACATATTGGATCACCAATTGCCTGTCAGTTTTGTCTGACCATGTGAATCTGCTTTGGCGTAGTGGCCTTATTGCAGTCATTGAAGTTAAGATAGACTGGCTAATAGATGGAGAATAGTCTTGGGAACCCTCAATTTCATAATTACCCTCCTCAAACTCTTGCACATGGGTCACTAGCTCCTCTGAATGAATGTCCACATTATGTTGTTCATCAATGTGTTTGTCCATAACATCTGCATCAATTCTTGCATATTTTGATGGCCTGAATTCAGGAGAATCTTTCTTCCTGTGACAAGATGAATTACCTTTGCGTTGAAGTGAATTATTTTCACTCTCTTCATCATTTAATTGATTAAGGCCTTGACGACGCTTACTATAATACATGCTAAGTACCTGCTCCAAGGTAAGATTTAGATCTTTTGCAATCTTCTCACAATCCTTGTATGGATTTTTTTCACTAAGATCATTTTAGATACATGCTTTAAAAGCTCAGCACGTTGTTCAGCTGTCATTACGCGATTAGATGCCCATGAACGGAAGCGGAAAACCTCGTGGACCACAGATCCAGGAAATGCATATAAAGCAGCTTTTTTATTAGCAGCAGCATAACAGTACTCCAATGTTCGCTAATATTCATCAACTGCGTATCTATTAGACAGAATAAAATCATGCCTAATTCTTGGTCGAAGATCATGAGACATAAAATTTAAATATGCTTCATCATTTGAAAGGGGTACGTGACGGTGGTATGGATTAGCCTAAAACATCCTGAAAAATTCACAGCTTTGTTGTTGGAACAGCCTTATGGGATTTGTCGAGGACTCGCAGTACCTGCAAGTAGCAAGCGTCTCCTAATGCCCTATCCTTGTGTGTAATTTGAAAATGTACAAGTTATCATTGTATTATTTAATATTTGCGGAAATCAAGAATGTCTTTGTCCTTGTAGGTTTCACAACTTGATGATTCTTGGCCTAATGACTTTAATTTCTATAGGCACTGTTTTGAACATAGTTCTTCATAAGTTGTGATATAATCCCAAGTATCCATGATAGAGATTTCTCACAAGTCCACTGCATGCTTAACGTTTTACGGACATAACCCCAACCATTACTTATTAATTTGATCCTTATAACTCACTAATTGTATATGAAAAGAAGCATGTCTATATGTGCGAGACCAGTTTTTTTGTAACAAGCCAAAACGTTTCGCAATATATGAACATCATAATCTGCCTTGCGACGTGAATTTTGAACAAAAAGATCTTAACCTTAGTTATGCATGACTCGAATTTAGCACATGTTTTGATCACGTCCTGGACCTTTTAGAAAAACATCCTTCTAATATTTTCTATATCGATGGGATTGGCCTTGGAGCTAATGGATTTGTATAATATATGCGGTTCATTCCTCGAATATAGTTTGTATGGTTATGAACTGAGATGAATCGAAAATATCTTCTAAACTCATTGCATCTAAATTCTAATTCAACCATGACTTGAAATGAACAAGCTAAATCTAAGTTTGTCACAAACTGATTTAGTAGCCCAACATAGACTGACGCTTGCAATTGATTCGAACAAAGCCTGAGGCTAAATCGACCGTGTCCATAAGCATCATGTGAATTATCTTTGAATTAACTTGAATTAAGTACAGACCATACTAAGCAACTTGTAGTGAGGCTTAAACAACATTTAAGGAGAAGTTTGTAATCAGCTGAAATAGGGTGTAAATTTCTTGAAACTGTGTGGCAAGATAGATCCAATCATATACTTTATGTCATTAATCATATCATGTCTGCCTGATCGTGAGAACGAGGACACACACGAGTTTGGGTACAAGAGGCTGGAGGCGCACTCCTCCCATAATAGTTCAGCAGAAATTGCCATGGATTATCACCACAATGAGTATAACGAAAAGTCTTTATAACGAAACCTTAGAGAGCCATGGCCAGAAGTCATGTGGCAGTAGAACATTTATTAAATACCAAAGTAGGAAAAATTTTGGGTATGACAGATGCCCCTATCTAATTGCCTTAAACCTGAACGGATGAACTGCCGCATGGCGTTCATTTTAAGGTGGAAGTCAATTAGATACAAGAAGACCCCAAAATTTGTCCGGTAGAGAAGTGAAAAGTGCCATGAACAAGATAACTTGATATTCTCTGGGTGGTCGAAGCAGTCCCTTATATAATAAGTTCCTTCGCGATACCAGAGTAGTATAAGCAATTCTCTTTGGGTGGTCGAAGCAGTCCCTCATTCGTTAAGGTCCTTCGCGATACCAAAGTGGTATAAACGAACCCCTTTGGGTGGTCGAAGCAGTCCCTCATTCGTTAAGGTCCTTCGCGATACCAAAGTGGTATAAACGAACCTCTTTGGATGGTCGAAGCAGTCCCTCATTCGTTAAGGTCCTTCACGATACCAAAGTGGTATAAACGAACCTCTTTTGGTGGTCGAAGCAGTCCCTCATTCGTTAAGGTCCTTCGCGATACCAAAGTGGTATAAACGAACCCATTTGGGTGGTCGAAGCAGTCCCTCATTCGTTAAGGTCCTTCGCGATACCAAAGTGGTATAAACGAACCCCTTTGGGTGGTCGAAGCAGCCCCTCATTCGTTAAGGTCCTTCGCGATACCAAAGTGGTATAAACGAACCTCTTTTGGTGGTCGAAGCAGTACCTCATTCGTTAAGGTCCTTCGCGATACCAAAGTGGTATAAACGAACCTCTTTGGGTGGTCGAAGCAGTCCCTCATTCGTTAAGGTTCTTCGCGATACCAAAGTGGTATAAACGAACCCCTTTGGGTGGTCGAAGCAGTCCCTCATTCGTTAAGGTGGTGCGCGATACCAAAGTGGTATAAACAATCCTCCTTGGGTGGTCGAAGCGGCCCCTCATTCGTTAAGGTCCTTCGATGATACCAAAGTGGTGTCTTTAAACACATGAGATTCTTCGGGTGGTCGAAGAAGCCTCTTATCCAATAAGATTCTTCGATGATACCAAAGCAGTATCTCGGGTGATAAATTTGCTGAGTAATGGTTGAGCTAAAATTCCTATTAGAGGAACAACATTGTCCAAACTCTGTAGGGGAGAAATCTTCAATAAGCTCTCTAAGATAACCTCTGCTTGGAGGATCATAAGAGCAACGGTCGCCGGGGACTATCATTATCAATTTGATTGGAGGACTGGCCAAGATGCTTGTGAATTGATCCTGGGCCTTGTCGTGTTGTTATGCTATGCTGCTAAAGACAACAATGCTATGCATTATGATGCACAAACATGCAACTAGAAATGCAACTGCTAGGGAATGCAAGATGCATATGCAAATGACATGTTAATGTTTGATGTGATTATGATATGATGATGCATGCCATGCTTATGATAATGCAGCGATCAGGCATGCTGGGGATAAAAGTCCTGTTGGAGGTATCCCCAGAGACTGAATTTGGTAGTCTTCAGATAGTTTTGGTTATTGTATTTGCCAAATAAGGTTGGACTTTGGTTATATGAGAATGCCAACGAGGGTGGACTTTTAGTGGTTGCCAATAAAAGATTGGACTTTAAATATATGCCAAGCGGGATTGGACTTTTATTGCAGGGTGGTGAGAGGATTAGACTTCCCGACACACAGTATATGACAGCGCCACGAGCAAAAGACAAATGTGGATTTTCTTGGTGCCCCAAGTTGGATCCTTTTGTAGAAGTGGTCTACTTGTTCTTGTAAGAACCTCCAGCTGATATATCGTGATAGCTTACAAACATTGAGCGTAGCGACTTATCCAAATCATGTCGATTGTGCGAGCGTAGCGACTTAACCAATGCGTTTGGATTGCGCGAGCGTAGCGACTTAACCAATGCGTATTAGTCGTGCTTTTGCTCGGCCCTAAGGCTTTTGACGCTTGTTGACCTCAACAATTACTGGTGTCTGGCATGGTCAGCTTGACTAAATTGAAAGTATGGACGGAAACTGCCCCTGTTCAACTAGTCTTCCTCAGTTCAAATGGTCTGCCCCAGTTCGACTGGTCTTCCCCAGTCTGCCGGGTATCTGAAAGATTTCTTCAGGGATAAAACTTTGGGAGTGACTGTACCAAGTCAAAGCATGAGTCCATATGCCCCAATGTTTGAATCTTGTAGCGGTATGCCCCTTCTTGAACCTCAGAAAGACCTGCCCCAGATTCACAAGGTTGTGAATGTTAGAACACAGATTGGTTCTTAATAATAACTCTTTGTTTTGATTATAACTGTTAGGAAATTTTATATTTAAGAATTATATACTCTAAAATTTGTTTGAGAGTTTTACTGCAGATTGAAATGAAATTAACTCTCTAGAAGCAAATCTGTTGTATACAAGAAGTTATCCTGACTCTGAAGCGCCAGATGCATATTACAGAAGAATCTGATTGCTCTTTACAGAAGATCCTGAGCGTAGTCTCCAGAAGGATTTGAAGCAAGAAGCTCCAGAACATTCTGAGTCAGAAGCATCTGAAGATAATCAGAAGCATCTGAAGCTGAAACATCTGAAGCAAAGAAGAATATTGTTTGAAGAGTTTCTCAAAGCATAATTCTACAGAAGTTTCTGAAAGTACCAACGCTGCCAAATACTGAAATTCTGTGTCAAATATGCTCTGATGATCAACACGC